ATGTCGAGTTGCTGCAGCTTCAGAGTTACTTGGCGGTTGCGTGGTAGTACTTTGACGGTTGAAACACCACTTAGAGCGTGCTCAACAACACATGGTCCTGGCAGCCAACGCCATCACCGTGAGCTCACTTTCCAGGTTGGTGATTTGGTATTCTTGAAGGTCAGACCCTTTCGCCAGGTAGCTTGCGCCAGGGCATCCATCACAAGCTCATGCCCAAATTTTATGGACCATTCCGTGTCATTCGCCGTGTGAGAAAGGTCGTATATAAGCCGCATTTGCCGGCTATTAGCTGTATCCATCTTGTGTTTCATGTATCTCAACTTTGTCAAGTGTTGGGCGATCACCCAATCGAGCCTTATTTACCCGACAACCTAGAGGGCGAGTAGCTGCATGTTTACGATCCTGAAGTTGTTTTGGATAGACTACTAATCAAATGTGCCTAATGTATAGTTCCTCAAGTCCTGGTTAAGTATAATGTTATATATTTATTAAATATAAAATTATTATTTATTTTAATTTTTTGCTAATATTATTGAACAATTGTGAATAAATTCAAATTAATTTGTGAATTAATGAACTAAAATTTGTGTTTGTATTTGATTTACTTAATTTTTTTATTTTTTTTTATCCATACATGCACATTCTCACGTATTTTATAAAGATCAAACGTTTAACCTCAAGTATCGGTTAAGTTACACCGTTGATTGATCGGCTTAACTTTGAGAAGAAATATTAAAATGGTGTTTAAAAACTAATTTATTAAATACCTTTTAAGTTGCAAATAACAATTTTAAGTATTTGGTAAATTAATTTTTTTAAAAAGCTTATTTATTCTAAAAGCTAATTTCTAAAGCACATACATAAGCATGAAGATTCTATTTTTTTTTTATTCTTAATTTGACTTTATACATTAATATCTTATTTATACACGTATATTAATATATTTTTGTTATATTATTTATTAATTATATTAAAATATCATTTGTTCCATTTCACTAAGATAACAAACCTATATTTTCTTCCAGTAAATTATATATTTATTTTTATAACTTTAAAATAATTAAATAATTATTATTTATATATAAAATATTTACTTTTCTAAAAAATAAATATGAAATAGACAATATTAATATTATTAATCTATATATATCACATCATTTTTTATTAAAAATAAAAATATAAATAACAAAATCAATTTGCACATAAATATGAAGTTTTGAATGAATATAAATATATTTGTTTATTTAAGAGAGATATAAAAATAATTTTTTTTAATGAATTTTGAATAGGTCTTTATACCAAAAAAATAAGGCAAATATGTCATTTTTAAAAACTATAAAATTTAAAATTTAAAATACTACTCCCTCCCTCCCAAACAAGGTGCAACATTTGCTTTTGGCACGATTTTTTAGGTGGGTAGTATTAAGTAGTATAATTTAGAAATTAGATGATGTGATAGAGAGAAAATATATATTTTATTTTTTTATTTGAATGATGCGAGGGAATAAAGTATGTGATAGTATAGTTAATTATTTTCTATTTTGAAAATGTTGCAGGATGTTTGAGACATACCAAAAAAAATATTGGAGGGTGTTTGAGAAGGAGAGAATATTAAAATATATAATTATTTTAAATAAACAAATTATAAAAAACGGATAAAAATAAAAACTACGAACGAATGATGTAAAACACAACTAGTATCAGACCTCATTAGTAATGGTCTAGAAATCAATTGCATTATCTAGGCGTATAGTCTTAATTTTGCGAGTAGATAATAAAAAAACATGTGACCATCTGATAGATGCATCAATAAACACCATAAAATATTTAAATGGCACATACGGTGGGTCTATTGGTCCACATATATCCCCGTGTATTCTTTCCAAAAATGTAGGTGATTGATTCAATACCTACTTTAGCTGGTGATGGCCTGATTATCAATTTTCTCTGAGTGCAGGCAACACAGGTTAACTAATTTGAGTTTAATACTTTTTGACCTTTTAATGAATGGTCATGCGACTTCTCAATTATTCGTCTCATCATTATACTACCAGGATGCCCAAGGCGATCATGCCATATATAAAAATCGGTAGTCTTTTGATCTACCGTGAGGTGTGTTTCAACAATACCTAATCTGACATAATATAAACCAGTAGAGAGTGAGGGTAATATCTCAATGATGCTTTTTTTTTATCAATGATATTGGTGATCAATAAAAATTCACCATCGGTATCACTCATAATTTCAATGTGATAACCATTTTTCCGAATGTCCTGAAAGCTCAGTAAATTTCTTCGAGCTTTAGTGGCCAACAGTGCATACTGTATCACAATTTTCGTCCCCGCGGGGAGAAATATAATGGCTTCTCCAGAGCCTTCAATTAATTTCGCACTGCCACTTATTGTATTGACATTCATTTTTTCCCTTGTCAAATGAGAGAAATATTTTTTGTGTTTCAATATAGTATGTGTCGTTGCACTGTCAATGAAACACATATTTGCATCATTTGTTTGGCATCCATATAACCTTCAAATATAAATAAACATAGTATTACTAAAGTTAAATATAAATATTACAAAATGCATTACAAAAAGGTAGTATGTGATAATTTAAATATTACAAAATATAAAATGACATAATATGTCCATCACTGGGGGTTTGTTGGATCTACGAAAATATCGGTTATATCAAGATGCGTTGTGTAGTAATCCAAAAGATCATCATCAGGGTCGTCATCGTTATCAACGTGATTAGTCTCGACCCCTTTCTCTTTTTTTCTGCAGTGAGGCTTGATAAAGATCGGCTAGGTGTTTGGCTGTTCTGCAGGTATTGGCCCAATGGTCTTTAATGCCACACCGATTACAAATGCCGATTTGTCTCTTTCCCTATTTAGCCTTTTCGGCTATATCCCCATATTGAGGTTTACTCTGTTTCCTACTAATGTCAAAACCGCGGTGATTGTAAGGGGTATATCGACCGCGTTGACTCTCATGACTGCGACCACGTCCACGGCCTCTACCACGTCCTCGGCCTCGGTCAGAAAATGTTACGTTCACTTCAGGGAACGGACTCGAACCAGTGGACCGGGACTGATGATTTTTCATCAGTAACTCATTATTTTGCTCAGCTAATAAAAGACATGCAATAAGCTGTTTTACATGGATTTACTTTCTGCGGCAACATTCTGAACTTCCATCTATTTTTATGGACTTTGCTAAAATGATACATATCCAATTTTCCTCCACCATAAAAACTCTCCGCACAAATAATGCTCTTGAGTATACCAATTCATCCTTCCTTCGTTTCCTCTCTGATCAGGGTACTGTTGTCCAATGCTCCTGCCCATACACCTCTCCACAAAATGGTCGCGCCGAACGTAAACACCGACATATCCTCAATACAGTCCGCACCCTTCTCTTATCTGCCTCTTGTCCGGATCGCTTTTGGGGGGAAGCCGCACTCACTGTTGTCCACACTATAAATCGTGTCCCTTCCTCTATCATGGGTTATGTTAGTCCATTTGAAAGACTATTTAATTGTGCTTCTGATTATTGTCTTCTCCGCCCTTTCGGTTGTGTCAGTTTTGTCCTCCTCCCTCCTCATGAGCGCACTAAGTTAGAACCTCGCACGCGTCTGTGTTGCTTCCTGGGATACGGGTTAGAGCATAAGGGTTATCGTTGTTGGGATCCCATTTCCAATAGACTACGTATTTCTCGTCATGTCACATTCTAGGAGAATACTAAATTCTCTACCTTGTCCCACTTTCGTGTCCCCTTCGATCGTTCGTCTCCGTTCTTTGCCTTGTTCTCTCCACCTCTATTCCCCTCCGATGACACGGCCCCGTCCCCCTCTCCTGACGCTGTCCCGGTTGCGCCTCCTGAACCGACGCTGATCCCCGAGCCTACTCCTACTCTCAAATCCGATACATCACCATCACCAGAGCCTGACACTACTTCGTTCTCAGACCCTGATCCTGGCACTCTTCGTTCCACTCGGGTTAGTCACCTTCCTACTCACTTACTTGATTATCACTGCTTCTCTGCCACCTTGTCCCACCATGAGCCCAGGTCCTTTCGTGAGGCGTATGCGGATCCGTTGTGGCGGCAGGCTATGTCTGAGGAGTTGCAGGCTTTGGAGAAAACCCATACGTGGGATATGGTTGATCTTCCCTCTGGCAAGAAACCTATTGGCTGCAAGTGGGTATTCAGAATCAAAACTCACTTTGATGGATCCATCGAGCGCTACAAGGCGCGTTTGGTAGCCAAAGGCTACACCCAGCAGTATGGTATAGACTATGGGGAGACATTTGCCCCGGTTGCTCGTCTCACCTCTGTCCGTTGTCTTATCGCTATCGCTGCCGCTCGTCGGTGGCCCCTGCACCAGCTCGATGTCAAGAATGCGGTCTTGCATGGTGATTTATCCGAGGAATCTATATGTCTCATCCTCCTGGTTTTCCTACCTCTTCCAAGGTATGTAAACTTCATTGTGCCCTATATGGTTTAAGCAGGCACCTCGAGCTTGATTTTTCGAAATTTAGCTCTACTCTACTCCAGCTTGGCTTTACTTCCAGCGACCATGATTCGGCTCTCTTCTTTCGACGTGGGTCAGCTGGAATTACTATTTTACTACTTTATGTGGATGACATGATCATTACGGGAGATGATGCATCAGGTATCTCTGAGCTGCAGGCTCATCTACACCGCCACTTTGAGATGAAGAGTCTAGGGCCTCTTCGGTACTTCCTAGGACTTGAGATCTCCGACACCTTCGACGGATATTATCTCTCTCAAGCCAAGTATGCCTCCGACCTCTTGTCTAGTGCCGGTCTCACTGACTCCAAGACTGACCCTACGCCTCTTGATTCTGATTGTCGTCTTACTCCGATGGACGGCGTCCCCCTTGATGATCCTATTCTGTTTCGTCAGCTGGTGGGAAGTCTGATCTACCTGACTGTCACTTGACCGGATATTGCCTATGCCGTCCATATCATCAGTCAGTTTATGTCTGCTCCTCGTACGACTCATCATTCTGCTGTTCTACGGATTCTCCGATACATCAAAGGCACTCTCCTTCATGGGCTTCATTATTCTGCTCGTTCTTCCTTAGTTTTGACCGGGTATTCTGACGCTGACTGGGTGGGAGATCCCTCTGATCTCCGCTCGACCACCGGGTTTTGCTTCTTCTTTGGCGACTCGCTTATTTTGTGGCACAGCAAGAAACAGACGGTTGTCTCCCGGTCCAGTGCAGAGTCCGAATATAGATCTCTTGCCGACACTACTGCCGAGCTTCTATGGCTTCACTGGCTGCTGGCTGATCTCGGAGTTTCTCAGTCCTCTGCCACTATTATCCATTGCGACAGTCAGAGCGCCATGAAGATTTCGACGAATGATGTCTTGCACGAGCGTACGAAGCACATTGAGATCTACTGTCACCTTGTACGTCATCACGTTGCTCATGGAAACATCTCCTTGTCTCCCATTCCCTCTGCTGATCAGACTGCCGACGGATTCACCAAGCCTTATCTTCCCGGCCGTTTTCAGTCATTCTTGAGCAAACTCAAGTTGGATTCCACCGTTCCACCTTGAGTTTGAGGGGGGATGTTGATATATATTGTATATATTTAGATATATATATATCCCTGCCTAATATATCTCTTGTATAAATATAATATTGTACTCTAATTGTAAACAATGAAAATATAGTTTATTCAATTAATCCTAACAACGGTGAAACCTGTAAATGTAGGCACTGATCCAAATCTTCCAATGATTGGGTCTGAAACGAACTATCCGTAAATATCCATATAGTGTTCGCTTCATTTCCAATCATCCGGTCGAATCCGAGACGATGATAGTGTTGGAAAATATTTTAGCGAAATATGAGATACGGCGAAAATAAAAAATCACATAGATGCGAAATCAAATTCGAGCCTCGCATTGTACGCAATTTCGTTGAAGCGAATTCGGCTCTTCACCGATCGCCTCCCAAGATAGAACGAATTGTTAACGGAATAACATATTCAGCAAATCGAATTAGAAAACTTTTTGGAAGAAAATTTGAAATTTTCTAAGAACTCACGTGAAAGAAGTTTTCCTTATTTCAGAAAATGGAGAATTATTTTGTATTTAATCACGTATAGAGAAAAAAAAACTGCCCACTTCTGCACGTTGCATTCAGTTGCAACAAACTATTTTATTTGATTATTTATTTATTTCTTTTTTCAAATTAAAATAAATTAATCAAATAAAATGTGGGACAAATAATTTATTCCTCTTTCACTTATTTAATTAAATACCCAACAGATAAAAATGCATTGGATCCGCATCCACCATCGGCTCCAACAACACAAGAATCCGAGCCTGATGCTCGCGGAACAACCACCGGACCTCCCTCTGAGAATAGGATTTTCCTATCCCCGTAGGTTCCATACCAATATTGAGAAATCCTTTATCGGGGAATAGAAGAGAGGCGTGCATAGCAGGGCCGTCTCAGACTTTTTTGGGGCCCTGAGCAAAAATAAATTATAGGCCCTATAAACAAGTTATTGAAATTTATTTTCAAAGTAATATCATTTATTGGCGACGATTGGACAAGAGGTTGAACATGACGGTTTGGGCAATGTCGATTTGAGAGAAAAAAAAAAAGAAAGATGAAAGACGGACTGTTTGGAGATTCAAAAAGCAAAAATGACTGAGGGAGAGTGAAAGAGAGAATGTGAGACGGGTTTGGTGTGAATGGGTGGGTGCAGTGTGACAAAGTGTGAAATAAAGAAGTGTAGACCGCGATTGAATTTGAAAAGATGAGAAGAGACATGGTTAGAAAGAAGATATAGGAAAATATATATGATGAGTTTAAATTTAATTTTAAAATTAAATTAGATAATTAAGAAAAGAAAAAAAATATAAACTAGTTAAAATTTAATTTTAAAATTTAAAATTTAATAATAATAATAATAATAAATAATATTTTAAAATATGGACCATCTATTAATTAGGACCCTAAGCAGTTGTTCATTCTGGTCCTGCTAAGAACCGCCCATGTTCCTACAGCTGGGAATGACTGCGAGTAATCTAACGGGACACTGTAGGAGGTGGCGCCACGGAGCAATCGCCCCCGAAAGAGTATCAACAGTCGGAGGCTATGAAACTACCACTTTATTAGGAGTCACCACCGCCAATGCGTTAGCACTAGTAGGAAATTTTGGAGTAAATTATGAGATTATTTTATTAATCATCAAAATAAGAGCTTATATATAGGCAATACAAAACAAATTCGATAGACCAAATCTAAATATAAATCTACTAAATCTAAAACTAAAAATATCTAAAATATCTCAACATCTCCCCTCAAACTCAAGTAGTATAACAAAAACCAACTTAAGTTTGATAAAAAAAGTTGAATATAGACGCAAGAGATGCAAATGAAAATAACAGTTGACTCTCCATCGGAGCCAAAAACGACATGACTCTTCATCAGAGCCAAAAACGACAGGACTCTGAATGGAATCAGAGTCAAACACAGACGGATAACTATAAACAGATAACAGACATCGGACAAATCACAAATAACAAACATATTGCAGACATCGGACAGATTGCAAAACAGATCGCAGACATCTGACAGATTGCAAAACAGATCGCAAACATCGGACAGATTGCAAAACATATCGCAAAAATCGGACAACAGACAAATCACATCTAAAAAATCGGAAAGATCACAGCGGCGGAACTGCCATTCGAATTAAGGGGGGCTAATTATAAAAAATTCGCAATATACCGAAAAATCGGTATGATAATAGTATATAGTGATACTAAATTTAGAGTTTTATACCCAAATAGTACAATTAAAAATAATATTTTTTTTTTATCAATATATTAAATTATTGGTATATGATAATATTTTAAATATTAAATTATCAAATTATATATCGTTATTGTACCTAAAAGAATTCATATAGTATTATATTATATCGAAGTTCCGATAAAAAAAATAGAAAATTTTGGTACTAAAATGTACTCCCTCTGTCAACATACAAAGTATACATTTACTTTTGCCGCGATGTTTAAAAAATAATCGTATTTTAATTATAGTGGGTAGTTAAAAGTAGTGTAATGACATTTTTGCCCTTATTTTTTTGGTGTAAAAGTAATGATGTGGTGTAAAGTAAGGGTGCGTTTGTTTGGGGTATTAGATTAGATTTCCACTGTTCATCTCATTTTTTCCCCCAAAAACATCAAATCAAAATACCTATTTTTCATTTTTTATATTATACTAAAAATCAATTTTACATTCAAAATATCACATCAACACCTATTTATATACAACTATTCAAATTCAAAATTTTTACTATTCAAATCTCAACTCAAAATCCAAATCCCCAAACAAACACACCCTAAGAGTATTTATGGAAAAAAAGTAAGGTATTTAATGAAATATTGACTTTGTAATTTGAAGTCCCAATATAGAAATATGTATATTTTCTAGCTGGATGGATGAAATATTATATATCAAATTTTTATAGTTTTTAATTATTTTTTATTATATATAATTTAAAATATAAATATATTATATTAAAATTTTAAGGGATTGGTGGGGGCAGGGGCCTCTGTAATTTGGTCATTATATATATATTAAAATTTTAAGAGATTGTTTGGGGTTTTGGATTTTGAAGTGAGATTTAAATAGTAAAAATTTTGAATTTGAATAGTTGCATGATGTGATATTAATAGGTGTTGATGTGATGTTTTGAATGTAAAATTAATTTTTAGTATAATATAAAAAATGAAAAATAGGTGTTTGATTTGATATTTTTTGGGAAAAAAAATGGGATAAATAGTGTATTTAAAATCCAATCTCCAAACAAACACAAAATAATGAATATGTGTGGTATATTAGTTTTTTTTTTCTTTAATGTGTTGTTTTTCTTTTTTAGAAAAAACAATATATATGAGCGCAAGTGTGTTTGTTTTGTAAATTTATTTGAAAAATATATTTTTTTATGTAAGTTATATGGAATATAAAAATAATAATTGTATGATATATTAATTTTTCAAAAAAAAAATATGTATATTGATATTTTTTATGTTGTTTTTTCATAAATTTTTATTAATTTTGAATATTCATATAAAAAATTAAAATTTACAATGTAAATTTCATTTAATTAAATTAAAATTAAAATTTATAATGGAAATTTGTATGGGACCCGTTATACTCATTTCCTAACCCATCAAAATTTTGAAAGCTTTATATTAAAAATTAAGTTTTTATATTTGAAAATTTCCAATTTTATCTTGAAATAATAATAAAAAATCAATATTCTTTTCGTCTAAAAAGAAAAGGATTTATTTGTGTTGGGTATGAGATTAAAAAATTTTAATATTTCATTGATAGGTAATGGGTAAAAGATTTTTTTTACACTTGTGATTGTATTTTAGTTAAAATATAAAAAATAGTAACATTTTTGTAATAATAATAAAAAATTAGGAATAATTTTATGATTATGTGATAATTTATGAAAATGAGACTATTAAATTGAGACGGACAAAAATAATAAAACATGACTATTGAATTGAGAGAGATGAAGTAATTTTTTTATGGAAATTTATATTAATTTTAGAATTTATATGAAAAAAAAATTAATTTTATATATATATGTTTGTATACATTATAGTATTTTATTTATATATATACAAAAAATTCAAAAATATATATTTATCTATTATATATTTGTATTGTTTTATTTAAAAAATATCCTATACTTTGTATATATTTGAAGATGTATTTTTAATATTTTATTCGCATGGATTGTAAGATGTTAAACTAATTTGATTACACATTTTATTTTATGATACTTTAATTTTATTTTTTTTTTTGATAAACCCGCACATATTAGGGGTCGTAAGCCGGTACTCCTTCCGTCCCAAATATCCTGCAATTTTTTTTTTTTTTCGGTATGTTCCAAACACTCTGCAACATTTCCAAAATAGGAAATAATTAATTATACTTAATCTCTACCTCACACTTTATCCCCTCACATCATCCAAATAAAAAAATAAAATATATATTTCTCTCTCTATCACATCATCTAATTTCTAAATTATCCTACTTGATACTACCCACTTAAAAACCCGTGCCAAAAGGAAATATTGCACCTTGTTTGGGACGGAGGGAGTATTTTATATATCTATATTGTGTTATTTTGAGTAATTTTTTTAATATTTTATATGTGTTCTAGTTGTTGAAGAAAACATTTAGATATAAAATTAATATTATGATGACTCTAAATATGAACATATTCTTAGCTTGACAAAAATGTGTATTACTCGAATTTCTGTATAAAAACCATCAAAATAACTTGTAAATGGCATACATTATTGATCTATATCGCTTGGCATGATCCAGAATTCGTTGTTTAGATTATTAACGGTTTTTGCCCTTCTTAAGCGGTAGTTTGGTATCAGAAAAGTTAAGGCAGACGCCGCAAGCGACAGCCGCCTCCGCTCACAAGCGCCCAGAACAGCCTCTGAAAAGACTAAGGCATGAGAGGCAAGCGAAAGTCTCCACCGCTCGCAAACGACAGCCAGAC